GAGAGAGAGAGAGAGAGAGAGAGAGAGAGAGAGAGAGAGTACTGAGTACTGCTATTCTTATGTATATTTGTGCATGACCATTAGCCTCCTGAGGTGACAGTAGAATTATGTCTAATATAACGTAAATATAAAATTAATTCTATATATAATTCTAAATATAAAAAGCAATTGTCAGGCAAGACCGTGAAATGTATTGACTGGATGGATGGAGGTGATGATGGGGGATGACATAATTTACTGCAATAATTTCAACACACAATGTTACATCTCAGCCGGTTGTGGGTTAAGTTGTCACAACCGACACAGAGTTACAGATACACATTGCAAAATATATTGATTGGTTATATGAGCAAGTGATATAATGCTAAATTTCTCCAAGTCTGTTCTGATGAAGAAACAAACGTGTCTACATCTTGGATGGGTTGAGCGTGAGTACATTAAAATTTTTGGGTGAACTGCTTTGTTTTTTAAAATGTTTATGAATATAATTTCAGTTGTATACAATGTGGCTGTTTCAATTAATTTTGTTTAATCAGCTTATTTTAGCAGCTTTGTTTTTTTTGTTTTTTTTTGAGTAAGCGATGTGATTTTTCTTGATGGCCTTGTAGTAATCTATTCAGTGGGTTTCTAAAGTAACTCAGATCTGCACCTATTATCATTCATGAGATCCAGTCACATTTGAAGCTTAATATTCAGCAACACACCCTAATCTTACATTACAATGTGTCACGAGAGTGTGATGCAAATGTGAACACATCAGTCATTTTTAAACACATACAACATGATTCAAAGTCGGACCAGCTTTCCAGCACAGACCTTCAGCAAACGTGCTTCAGTGTATCTTCTGCTGTGCGTGTGAAGGCCTCTCGTTTATAAAAAACATTCCTCTTATTCGATGACATTGGAATTTGTACAAAGTGAACAAATTACATAATCAGCTCTGTAAGAAGAGGATAAAGCTGATATAGAAGGAGATTAGAGGTTGTTTTGTTTTGTGTGGACCCTCAAACTCTCTCTTGGCCGACTGTGTCAGCTCATTGTGAAATGCCGAATTGCTAATGCGATGCTAACGTTGAGGTTTGTCTTGTTCTCTGTGGTGTAACACATTCCTTTAAAGTGATGCAATTAAAAGTTGGTATTTTAAAAGTGATGACGCTCTGTTTGTTTAGTCAATACATTCGTTTAAACTGTATTCGTTTAATACTAATGTAGTGGCTTTCCAATCAATTGTATTTAAGGACACTGACAATATCAGCTGACATTCCTTTGTAAGCAAGTTATCAGTTAGCAACTTTAAATGGAGATGCGACTGGGGGTGTTTAAAAAAATTATAATAATAAAAACAATAGACTTACTTCCAGTGTTATTGTAGAAACATTAAGATACGAGCGTAGTTTTTATTCAGTTTTTGTTTGTACATTTTCAATTGTCATTTTAATTTTAGTTACGATTTTAGTCATTTTGTATTGGTTTTAGTATTTTGTGTAGTTTTGTCAATATATATATATATATATATATATGTCTGTATAGTTTTTATTTCTGTTTTAGTTTTAATTGTTTTAGTAGGCCAATCGTTAAACTAAATTAAAATGAGAAATGTTGCCTTCTGTCAACTAGCTGGAATAAAAAAGTTTTTATATTTTATTTCAAGTAATTTTTTGTTGTTGTTTTAGTTAACTATAATAAGCCTGCTTACTTCAATAGAAGTTACGTATGTAACCATGGTTCCCCGAGGGAACGAGACGCTGCGTCTCTTTGCCATACTCCCTGCATCCCTGCAGGCGCTACTTCATCGAAGCTGGTTTGCGCCCGGCCGGATGTGCCTTTATGCTTTCTGGTGCTTACGTCACCCTGCTCGTGACGTCTCGCTACTCCATTGGACGGATTTGACACGTGCTTCAGAACGCGGTCACGCAAGGGCGTTCCCAAAGCGACTCGACGCAGCGTCTCGTTCCCTCGGGGAACCATGGTTACATACGTAACCTAGAGACGTTTTCTGTAAGTTATAAAGTTGAGTTATAAAATGAAAAAAAATTACAATATGAAAAACTAGATTTATGATGTTAATAACTGTAAACATGTCATCACAGTCTGTGAAAAGGGTCCATTGTGAAACAGCACGTATGACTTTCTTTCTTCTGTGGAACACAAAAGAAGATATATTGAAGAATGTTGGTAACCAAACAGTTTTGGTTCCCATTGACTTCCATAGAATGGACCAAAAAAATAAATACTATAAACGTCAATGAGAACCAAAACTGTTGATATCTTGTTTTGTGTTCCACTGAAGAAAGAAATGCATACAGTTTTGAAATTGCATGAGGGTGGTTAGAGGAGCTAAAAAATAAAAGGGCTTTTGATTTTAAGTTTTTTTTTTTTAAGTTATTACAAAGAGAAAAATTCACAATAAGACCAAGAAAGTGTAATAAGAAGTTGGATCCATGTTGATTTCATGCTGACTCTAATGTGCAGGTGCTATTTGAACGGGTAACCTTTGACCTGGAAGAGCTTCAGGAGGCCATACGCATCATTGACAAAGATGTTCCACGAACAGACCGAGATCTTCCATACTACCGGTGAGAACTTGTTTAATTTGTGCATTTTAATATGCTAAATAAAGGCAATGCCAGTCATGGAATAGTGGAAAAGCACTTACGGTCACAATCCTTTTAGAACCTCTAAAAATAATCAATTTTTTTAATTTGTATATTGACAAATCCTTATGGTAAGTGGCAAGAGGGTGACGAAAATATATTTTGTTGGCTCTTATTGTTAACATATTGTTATGACTTTTTATAACAATAAATGTGTTCATTATCCACCCTGCAGTCCTCATTTATGCCTGTTTAATTTCTTATGTCTGCTCATTTCCTTACAGGAAAGATTTCCTTGTTCCTTGTTCAGATTTCCGTGTTTAATTATTCATCTCTATGGCTACATAAATCATTTCTATCTTTATCTACAACCCATGTTGTTTTCTCTTTCAAACTTTCTTTTGTCAAATAGCAGAGTTCCTCAGTATTCTTCATTTCTGCTGAAGAAAGTAGAAAGTCAATTCGTTCTCATGTTCGTTTAAACAAACCTCAAGGAGTTGCCTCATTTTTTGCATCACTAATGTGAGTTGCCAGCTCAAAGTAAACATGTCATTGCCACACCAATATATCAAACAACCTTGGAGCTCAATGTAAATAACACTCAGGAGTCTGTCTCATCATTTCACTGTGGTTAAACATTAACTAGATTTGAGTACGGTCAACTCAGCTCACTTTGAAAGCATACTTCAGTATCCAAGTACATAGAGAATCCACAAAAAGAGCAGAAATTTATAAATATATAGTTCAGTCATGAAACTCTAGATGGCGCATTCTGACGGGGTGTTAACATAACTGATGATATTCAGAGAGTTAAACGACTTGGCACAAGCTGATTGGTTCATGCTGCATATGCAGCCAATGAGCTTACTGCCTTGCATTTATATGGCTGGCTAGCATTCACTTGAGATTCCTGCAGCACGCTTTCAGAGTTCTCTGAAACCCTCCACCTTCCCCAGCTCCACCTGTATAGATCTGCTACGGGGTTATTTTATATGCTATTTGTGCAGCAGCAGTATGTCTTAAATACTCATGGCACCGTATCGCCATGTGCATTGACAGTAGCAAGTTCCTGTACTTGCTTGCAGCAGCAGTAATAATCTACAGCTACAGCATTAACCAACAGCAGCAGCGTAGCAGATCTGTTCCGCCAAGACCAAATACATTAACATTTTCACATCCATAACCATGCTAAAATGTTCCGAGAGTTGTCATGATTGAATTACATACACTGCAATTATAGGCATGCAGAATAATTACTCATAAAACATAAAACATAAAGACATTTAAAAAGTATAAATTATGTTTTAGAATAAATATGGTCACGTAATGCTTTTCCTATTAAGTTTTTTTTTATTATTATTAAGATAATGCTACTCTTATTTAAAAGAACAAATGATAATTATATAAACTAATATAACATTAGCCTATTTTGCTGCTGCAAAAACAAACACAAACTTTCTGCATACCATTCATATTTTTCCTGATAACAATAGACCACATTTTAAAATACCAGCAGACGTAAAATGATCAAATTTAATTTAATTTGAGTGTTTTAACAGAGTAAAAGCGAATTTGATTAAATCATACAGTGCATACCTGTATGATTGTACCAAAGTTGTTTTTACTTTGTTAAAATGCTCCTATTAAATTCAATCAGTCCTTTGAAGAATGAAGTATTGCCTGGAGAAAGACTTTCTAATCACTTGTTTCATCACAGGAATGAAGGTTCAGGTAACCTGCTTGTCTTGAGAGATATCCTAATCACATATGCTGCTTTTCACCCAGGTACGTGGTTGTAAATACACTTTTTGGTCAGTGATTTTTGTTAAAGAAATGAATACTTGAATTTAGCAAAGACACATTAAATAGTGTACAATTAACAATAAAGATAAATGCTGTTCTTTTTTGTTATCACGAATCCTGAAAAAAGAGATCACTTTATCACAAAGATATTAAGCAGTGCAACAGTTTTTATTATTGATAATAATAATAAGAAGAAATGTTTCTTGAGCAGCATATTAGAATGATTTCTGAAGGATCATATGACATTGAAGACTAAAGTAATGGCTGCTGATTTTAAATTCAAAATTCAGCTTTACCATCACAAGAATAAATTAAAATGTACAATATATTAAAATAGAAAAAAATATATTTTTAATTGTAATAATTTTTCAGAATATTGCTGTTTTACCTTATTTTTTGAGCAAATAAATGCAGACATATTATGAAATCTTGCCGACCCCAAACTTTTTAAATGTAGTGTTTATTTACACCAGGGGTCCCCAAACTCGGTCCTGGAGGGCCGGTGTCCTGCAGAGTTTAGCTCCAACTTGCCTCAACACACCTGCCTTCAAGTTTCTAGTATGCCTAGTAAGAGCTTGATTAGCTGGTTCAGGTGTGTTTAATTGGGGTTGGAGCTAAACTCTGCGGGACACCGGCCCTCCAGGACCGAGTTTGGGAACCCCTGATTTACACACTTTCATTTGGCTGTTTATTAATCTGATTTTTGGGCGACATCTAGTGGTTAAACTGTGAAGCACTGTGTCTGTGACCAGATGTAGCTGAGGATCCAGCTCTTTTAGTAAAGCAGCTTCCAACTCGGATAAACACCACAACAGAAACAGCATTCATTGTCTAACTTAATAATCAGTTTGTTTCCCTGGTCTCTGCAGAAGTAAGTTACGCTCAGGGAATGAATGATCTGTGCAGTCGCTTTCTGGAGGTGCTGGACTCAGAAGTGGACACTTACTGGAGCTTCTCCTGCTACATGGATAAGTTTTCCAAAGACTTCCGTGCTGATGGACTGTATCGCAAAATGGGTGAGTTTCCTTTGTTTTTCCAAACTGTTTAGATCTGTTATTAGCACTAATAATTATACAGTTTCTCACTGGATCTATGGTCAAATGCTGTTTCTGTTGTGGTGTTTCTCAGAGTTGGAAGCTGCTTTACTAAAAGAGCTGGATCCTCAGCTACACTCCCATCTGGTCACAGACAACATGGAAAAATTCACTTTTTGCCACAGGTGGGTTTTGATTGTCTTTTTCTTCTCTTTCTGTCACTTTATAAATCGTTCTCTTGTCTTCCATTCAGGTGGCTTCTGTTGGGTTTCCAGAGGGAGTTTGAGCACAGCGATGCTCTGCGTCTGTTTGAGATTTTCAGCTGTGATCATCTGGAGCTCATCTCACAGCAGGTGGATCGGGCTCGATATCAGGAGAGACTGGCACGCAAATACAGCCTGGGTGAAAGTTCTTTCAACTAGCTTTTTAAGATAGGTCTTAAGCATTTAATGCCTTCCAGACACTGTTTATCATAGACACTAATATATTTCAAATGATTCTGATTTATGACTGTGATCTCCAGAGGATGAACCTGTGATGGAGCTCCAGGCCGTAAACACAGACTTCACTTTTGAACTCTTCATGTGTGCCACCATCTTGCTGGAGAACCGAGAAGCTTTACTCAGCTGCAGGAACGACGCTCAGCTCATACAGTTTACCAGCAGGTGTGTGTGTGTGGTGTGGACTGGTTAGTAGATTGGTAGATTGGTATGGTTCATTGTAATGTAGACTACATTGATCTCTACAAGCAGGGTTATTATTGTTAACTAAAACTAAAACCATAAACCATTTCATTACTTGAAATACGCATGAACTGAAATCAAATATTAAAAATAATTGCTGGTTGCTAAGGCAATATTTCATATTTTTTGTTATAGGTCATTAGTTTAGGTTATCTAAATTAAATGCTAAAACTTAATAAAAGCTATATACACATGTAATACAAATGACAAACACACAACAAAATTACTAAAACTTGAACTAAAATTAAAATGAAAACAGGAAATATACAAATAAATTCAAAATATTAACAAAAACTATTATAGTACATCAATGATACTAAAATAACACCGTCTCCAGGCTGTGTTTTAGGATTTTTACCCAGTTTAGCCTGTCTGAAGACCTTATATTTGTTGTTGTCTTGATATTTTATTACCTTTTGTAGTAGTATGGACAAAGAATTCAACCAAGTGACTTATAGGAGCAAAAAAATAGGAGTTCATTTATAATAATATATATATATATATATATATAATTTATTAAATATTTTATTTTATTTTTTTAGTCACATTTAAGTGCAATATGTTTTAGGGCTACTATATAATACACAGTTTTCATTCATGGAGCATAAGCATCTAATCATGCTGTCCCTGGTTAGTCTGCAGGGCAAGCTGGACCTGAACAGCACCCTGAAAAAAACTGAGGAACATTTTTACAACTACTGCAAACGCTCAGCCTGGGACTATTTGAGAGGTCGCTGTCGCATGCGCAAGAGCAAAGAGGACCACTTTTTATATCAACTCCGCAACCTTTTCTCCTGAGACCAAAAGGCCTGCATGGAATTTTCCAGAAAGCAGTTGTGTTGACAGAAACTCGTGAAATGTGACATTATGTCCCAGTGGAACTTTCATTTTATTCTAAATAATGATGCTGCTTTTAACCAGAGTTTTGTACAGGAACCTGATGGACTCCTTCCAGACAGTTCCTTCAGTATTTGATCTTAATTTATAAGGCGTCTATTATGGTGCCAGAATTTATGTGAGAACAACTCAAAACACTAATTTAATCACTCTAAGATAATCAAATAAGTATTTTATATCACTTTTACCCTGATCGTGCTTGAACAGATATTTGATAGTGCTGAAGACTTGATTAAAGGAATAGTTCACCCAAAAATGGAAATTTGCTGAAAATGTACTCACCCTCAGGCCAACCAAGATGTAGATGAGTTTGTTTCTTCATCAGAACAGATTTGGAGAAATTTAGCATTTGTTCACTAATGGATCCTCTGCAGTGAATGGGTGCCGTCAGAATGAGAGTAAAAAAAAAAACATCACAATAATCAACAAATAATCCACACGACTCCAGACCATCAATTAACATCTTGTGAAGTGAAAAACTGCGTGTTTGTAACAAACAAACCCATCATTAATGCATTTTAACTTTTAGTCATTGGTGAGCAAGTGATACTACATTTGTCCAAATCTGTTCCCACAAAGAAACAAACATCTTGGATGGCCTGAGGATGAGTACATTTTCAGCCAAATTTCATTTTTGGGTGAACTATTCCTTTAAGCCTATTGACTGCAGAGATGCATTGCATGTTAAGGTGAAGCATGCAATGTTAAAATTCACTTCATTTTGAACAGGATTTTGTACTGCGTTACAGCTGTGCAAAACAGAAAGCAGAAATCCTTATTGGTGATCTAGGCAAGATCTGACTTGTGAGTATTATTCAGTCTCAGAATCATCTTGTGTCTGCGTATTTGTCACATTAGAGCACAATATAATAATAGAAACACAGTTTCAGTTCTGAGAAGCTCTAGAAGACCCTCTGTGGTGTTGTCTTACCAATCGTAGAGTGATCAAGTATGTACTGATCAGAAATAACACGTTGAACCAGGACACCCTTCACTCCACACTGCATTCATTTTATTATGTAAGAGGCAAAAGAGTATGGAATATTGCACATTTGGTTATTATTTATTAGAAACTGACACACTATGACACGATTAGTGAGGGAGTGCTGCTAAAGTTGTTTTCTAAGAATATGAAATCACTGACCAACACTTTTTGGGGAGCGGGTACTGTAATTTTGATGCTGTCCACTGATGTTTGAATTATATTTTGAAATTTTGCACAGCATGTTTATTGTGTTTTAATTAATGTAGCAATAATGAAAAGACACTGCAATGTCAAACTGAATCAATGAATTTATCTGCACATTTTAAATGAGTTGAGTGTTCGTGTCATTCATGAACTGTGTGTGTGTGTGTGTGTGTGTGTGTGTGTGTGCGTACGTGCGTGAGAGAGAGACTGAGAGGGAGTTTTATTTTAAGAATACTGTGACATTTAAGCAGTCAGTTTCTAGTGAGTCACTTCATTAAGAATAGACTCATGCATGCTAGCCAAGTCTACTGCTACAGAGACTACTGCTGTATTATGAAAAAAAACTTTGGAGAATTAAAATGGTAGATATGAAATTTTTTTTTTTTTTTACATTTTCTCTAAATAAACACTTTTACTGTTGAAGCCGATCATCATCTGTGATGCATGGCTCTTTCCTCTAATTAATTACAAACCAAAAATCCTAGTATTAGCCATGCAACCCTGTTTCCACATAATTTATTCATAATTAGATTTTTCCTAAAGATTCTGACACACAGTGACCGACATCCTTTGGGCCTTTCCTAAAGCATGATGGGAAGACAAGTAGATAGTCTTATTCCATTTGATTTTTACAAACATTTGCCAAGTTTAGGGTTGATCCTGTTACCCAAGTTTTTGAAAATATTGACAATTCTTAAAGAAATATTCATTTAATGGAACATATAAAACATGTTTTATATATTTATGCTAAAAATACAACCCTGTTGGCCAACATTTATAATCAATTGTTTTTTTTAGCAACATCGGATGAACCTGCAGTGACGGAGCTCCAGGCCATAAACACAGACTTCACTTTTGAACTCTTCATGTGTGCCACCATCTTGCTGGAGAACCGAGAAGCTTTACTCAGCTGCAGGAACGACGCTCAGCTCATACAGTTTACCAGCAGGTGTGTGTGTGTGGTGTGGACTGGTTAGTAGATTGGTAGATTGGTATGGTTCATTGTAATGTAGACTACATTGATCTCTACAAGCAGGGTTATTATTGTTAACTAAAACTAAAACCATAAACCATTTCATTACTTGAAATACGCATGAACTGAAATCAAATATTAAAAATAATTGCTGGTTGCTAAGGCAATATTTCATATTTTTTGTTATAGGTCATTAGTTTAGGTTATCTAAATTAAATGCTAAAACTTAATAAAAGCTATATACACATGTAATACAAATGACAAACACACAACAAAATTACTAAAACTTGAACTAAAATTAAAATGAAAACAGGAAATATACAAATAAATTCAAAATATTAACAAAAACTATTATAGTACATCAATGATACTAAAATAACACCGTCTCCAGGCTGTGTTTTAGGATTTTTACCCAGTTTAGCCTGTCTGAAGACCTTATATTTGTTGTTGTCTTGATATTTTATTACCTTTTGTAGTAGTATGGACAAAGAATTCAACCAAGTGACTTATAGGAGCAAAAAAATAGGAGTTCATTTATAATAATATATATATATATATATATATAATTTATTAAATATTTTATTTTATTTTTTTAGTCACATTTAAGTGCAATATGTTTTAGGGCTACTATATAATACACAGTTTTCATTCATGGAGCATAAGCATCTAATCATGCTGTCCCTGGTTAGTCTGCAGGGCAAGCTGGACCTGAACAGCACCCTGAAAAAAACTGAGGAACATTTTTACAACTACTGCAAACGCTCAGCCTGGGACTATTTGAGAGGTCGCTGTCGCATGCGCAAGAGCAAAGAGGACCACTTTTTATATCAACTCCGCAACCTTTTCTCCTGAGACCAAAAGGCCTGCATGGAATTTTCCAGAAAGCAGTTGTGTTGACAGAAACTCGTGAAATGTGACATTATGTCCCAGTGGAACTTTCATTTTATTCTAAATAATGATGCTGCTTTTAACCAGAGTTTTGTACAGGAACCTGATGGACTCCTTCCAGACAGTTCCTTCAGTATTTGATCTTAATTTATAAGGCGTCTATTATGGTGCCAGAATTTATGTGAGAACAACTCAAAACACTAATTTAATCACTCTAAGATAATCAAATAAGTATTTTATATCACTTTTACCCTGATCGTGCTTGAACAGATATTTGATAGTGCTGAAGACTTGATTAAAGGAATAGTTCACCCAAAAATGGAAATTTGCTGAAAATGTACTCACCCTCAGGCCAACCAAGATGTAGATGAGTTTGTTTCTTCATCAGAACAGATTTGGAGAAATTTAGCATTTGTTCACTAATGGATCCTCTGCAGTGAATGGGTGCCGTCAGAATGAGAGTAAAAAAAAAAACATCACAATAATCAACAAATAATCCACACGACTCCAGACCATCAATTAACATCTTGTGAAGTGAAAAACTGCGTGTTTGTAACAAACAAACCCATCATTAATGCATTTTAACTTTTAGTCATTGGTGAGCAAGTGATACTACATTTGTCCAAATCTGTTCCCACAAAGAAACAAACATCTTGGATGGCCTGAGGATGAGTACATTTTCAGCCAAATTTCATTTTTGGGTGAACTATTCCTTTAAGCCTATTGACTGCAGAGATGCATTGCATGTTAAGGTGAAGCATGCAATGTTAAAATTCACTTCATTTTGAACAGGATTTTGTACTGCGTTACAGCTGTGCAAAACAGAAAGCAGAAATCCTTATTGGTGATCTAGGCAAGATCTGACTTGTGAGTATTATTCAGTCTCAGAATCATCTTGTGTCTGCGTATTTGTCACATTAGAGCACAATATAATAATAGAAACACAGTTTCAGTTCTGAGAAGCTCTAGAAGACCCTCTGTGGTGTTGTCTTACCAATCGTAGAGTGATCAAGTATGTACTGATCAGAAATAACACGTTGAACCAGGACACCCTTCACTCCACACTGCATTCATTTTATTATGTAAGAGGCAAAAGAGTATGGAATATTGCACATTTGGTTATTATTTATTAGAAACTGACACACTATGACACGATTAGTGAGGGAGTGCTGCTAAAGTTGTTTTCTAAGAATATGAAATCACTGACCAACACTTTTTGGGGAGCGGGTACTGTAATTTTGATGCTGTCCACTGATGTTTGAATTATATTTTGAAATTTTGCACAGCATGTTTATTGTGTTTTAATTAATGTAGCAATAATGAAAAGACACTGCAATGTCAAACTGAATCAATGAATTTATCTGCACATTTTAAATGAGTTGAGTGTTCGTGTCATTCATGAACTGTGTGTGTGTGTGTGTGTGTGTGTGTGTGTGTGCGTACGTGCGTGAGAGAGAGACTGAGAGGGAGTTTTATTTTAAGAATACTGTGACATTTAAGCAGTCAGTTTCTAGTGAGTCACTTCATTAAGAATAGACTCATGCATGCTAGCCAAGTCTACTGCTACAGAGACTACTGCTGTATTAAATGTTTTTGTGAAATAAAGTGTGGCGAGTTGAATATGTGAATATGAATCTTTTTTTTTTTTTTACATTTTCTCTAAATAAACACTTTTACTGTTGAAGCTGATCATCATCTGTGATGCATGGCTCTTTCCTCTAATTAATTACAAACCAAAAATCCTAGTATTAGCCATGCAACCCTGTTTCCACATAATTTATTCATAATTAGATTTTTCCTAAAGATTCTGACACACAGTGACCGACATCCTTTGGGCCTTTCCTAAAGCATGATGGGAAGACAAGTAGATAGTCTTATTCCATTTGATTTTTACAAACATTTGCCAAGTTTAGGGTTGATCCTGTTACCCAAGTTTTTGAAAATATTGACAATTCTTAAAGAAATATTCATTTAATGGAACATATAAAACATGTTTTATATATTTATGCTAAAAATACAACCCTGTTGGCCAACATTTATAATCAATTTTAATGTTTTTTTAATCATACACCAAAGTTATTCTAAGAAATTCTCAAATAAATATTTTTCTTTAATTTATAGGAAATATAAAATATTTAATTTATTCAGTTATATTAATTAACTTGAGCTAAATTTGCAACCCTTTTGCTCTTTAACTGTAATAAATTTTGATGTTGATTTTAAAATAAATTACCATAGTTATTGTTAGAAATTCTCAAATAAATATTTTTTTTTCATTAATAGTTCATATTTATTTAGTTATATCAATTAATTTAGGCTAAAATTGCCAATTAAATTGTGACCCTGTCACCCAATAATTGTAAAAAAAATATATATATATATATATTATCATTATTATTGTAATGTTTATTTTATTGTTACAATCTTTTTTTACATATTTAATATATATATGTATATTAATATTTTTACGCTATTTATGGAAAGTGCCACATTTAGTATACCGTGTTAGATGCACATACATTGAGGGCACTGTTTTGTATTAACTTTATTTATGATGAACACATCCCTCCAAGAATGTCTTATCCATTAAGTGTTTCAGTGCTTAACACTGTCTGGTGAACTTATCTCCTGAGAGCATGCTTTTATCTAGCATGCTATAGCACCACCGGGCATTTTGAGGCAAAAAGCACCACAAAAATAAAAGGAGAGGACACTGCACATATTGAGTTCGTGTAATTCTTAATGAAGGCTGAATAACCCCATGAATGAAAACAAGTGTCTTCTTGTTAAATTTCCCTGGTGTTGGCAGTAGGTTGTTAACTCATGCGCTTGCTCTGAATGGCAGACGCTGGCGAGGCTGGAGCACATGAGATCTGCAGCCTGGACGTTTCTCTGCACTGTCAGGTCAGGTGACTTCATGCTGGAATCTCTTCGGCCGCTATGGCTATATGCACACAAGAGTCCAGGGCTTCTGCCTCTGAGTCCACCAGTGCAGGAGTGCAAAAGGCACCAGGACGAGCGCTAGCAGGGCTTTGGTCGAGGGCAGACCCCGTGCTGAGGGAAAGGACACACATTACCTCTCAAGTACAACTTTTCCAGGAAGGTTAATGTTTTCTTTGAAGCATTGCAAGCAGCCTGGCCTGGTGTTCTGTTCTGTCTGCTTCTGTCTGTTTTAGATTTGGACTGTTTTGGAAGTCCTGCATTTCTATGTGTGTGTGTGTGTGTGTGTGTGTGTGTATGTGTGTGTGTGTGTATGTGTGTGTGTGCACACTCCCAATTCTGAGAACAGACTAATTTTGCCCCCTCACATCTACCACACATGCAAATCATGTGAATCTTGCAGGCCACATGACCCATTCAGATTCTTTGTGTCTCTTACCTTCCCCATTGTGCTCTTGTCTCATGACAACAGCTTTTCTGTAAGAAACAACCTGCTTCTTTGTCAGGTTTGTATTTTATTTAAAGACTAACTAATATTATTACTGATACCGATTATTTTTGTTCAGGTTGAATATGCAATATTTTTCATTCTTAAAAAAAGAAAAGAAAAAGTGTGACCCTGTCTATGAAATCCAGGCTAAAGTCTCAAAATCTTATTATGAGATAAGCATCAAAGTTTGATTTCAACCATTAATTTCACTATGATTTCAATCTTTGACATGGCCTTACTCGGTCAGTATTAAAGATATCAAGGTTACATTTTGTATGTTCTTTACATTATGAAGGATTATTTTATGTAAAACAGTAAATCACAAAAAAAAATACTTTAGCTGGGTTTTCACAGGCAGAGTCACAAAAAATATATATATAAAAATATAAAATCTACTTATTATTAGTCATTAATGCCATCATATTAATGCAAAGTATTGAGCCCCACGTCAGGTTATGAATACACATGATTAATAGTTGAATTATGAGCAATGTGAAACATTGATAACCTAGATTCCTTTATAACCCTGAGTTTAGAATGATCCAGGGTTAACTATTTAAAGTGTGAAAAGCCCTTTTGTAGTTCGTCTAACTGCTCATTTTAAAATATGCGTTTCTCACTTGAGAATTAATGTTTTGTAAAAAGTTGCGTAATTTATGCAAACAATGCATTAAATAAGTTAAATTACCTATGAATGCAGTCGTGTAATAATTGTTGGATGCTATTTCTTTGCAGACTTGATATTGTAGGACTGTTTATAAAAAAGGAAATATACACGCATTGAAGGTGTGATTTGTAAGCTTACATATTCAAGAAAGTATGTATTCTCAATAAAACAGCTAAAAATGATTTATTCTGATACCTAAAATCACCATTGGTCATCTGGTCCAGGCAAGATGTCAAAAGGTCCAGCAGTGGGTATTGATTTGGGCACCACCTACTCCTGTGTGGAATCTTCCAGCATGGAAAGGTGGATGGAGATCATCGCCAATGACCAGGGGAACAGAACAACCCCCAGCTATGTCGCTTTCACAGACACCGAAAGA